TCTGAAGGAAAACGTGCATCCAGTTACTCTAAGAAGGTGTCTGAATCATGATAAACAATCAGTTTAAAGTCAAAAAGTCAGAAATGAGTGGCCCAGAAAGATTTTCTACAGAGCTCTATACATATGCTAACTCAATTTGCAGAAAAGAAACATCCTGCTGCACAGTTCAGAGCTTATGAATAAGCAACTATATAACTGAAAAAAAATCTTGTGTCATGCAGTAAAGGTGGGTTGTTCACAGGCTGTGAAGGTACAGACTCTCTTTGTCCTGCCTGGAAGCATCTTCCCCCTCTCCATTTGAACATGTGAGCATTTTTCTTCACTGGTCTGCAGTCAGAAACATGATGTATCACAGAATTCTCATTCTGCAAACAGACTCCACCCATAACAGAAGACAACATTTAGCTCTGCATCAAAAGGCACTTGCACATTATTAAAAAACAAAGGAATTGCAAAGATTTGCATGGGAGTAGGTTAATTTGAGGACAGCAGTTTAAAGGGAGTTCTCTTTTAACATGAGTCAAAGATGAGAGTCTATGTTTTGTCTGGCTGTACCCAACACAGAATGTGTTTCCATAACTTACAGTCCTGGATTGCTGTTCTGTCTCCAAGAGCAGAGCACCAGAGCACCTCCCCCATGTCCCATCTATTTGGACAAATGCTTTTTCCATAATCTCACACTACATCTCAGTGTGACACTCGGACTAATCAGAGAGAGGTTAAACTGGGGAAAGGTAAAAAAGGAGCACAGTGCAATAAACTGGGTGTGATCCATTATTCATGGAGTCCAGTGTGCAGTCCCCATGGACACCCAGCGCCACGTGCCAGCACAGCACATGCACTGCAGACCCAAAGATTGCATTTCTAGCTGCTGAAAAAAGAGAAATTTAAGGGCATTTCAAAATGCAAAGTGGATGTTCTTTTTATGCACAGAAACATCCACTCCATCCCAGAAGCTGATTTAGCTTGGCATGAGTGACAACCTGGTGCAAGGAGTTGCTCAGAGATCACCTTTGTCTCATCAGCATGTTGAGAACCCCCATTTACAAAAAGTGTGCATCTTCATCACATTTGCAGAATTACAGACCAACAAACTATGGGGTGAGACTTCTCCCACAGCACGAAGCAAGGAGCCTTTCCTGTGAGTTTATCATGCAGCTTCTGCCAATTATTAAAAGCAAGCCGTGACAGGTAAAAGCAGGAAGAGAATGCCTGGGGAACAGAGATTTGTGTAAAGGTTAGAGGCAGCACGGGCAATATTGGTTGCAAAAGCAATCAGGCAAAGACAAACACAAAAAAGGACAATTAAGTCTAACTACACACGACACACTACATGACATGGATGAAGACTTAAACAACACAACATTGTCACACTGCAATAGCCATGGATACATCATCTGCATACCACCACAGGAATATGGAACTGAGTATCAACACAACAAAGGCATATCACAGCAATAAAGACCACCTAAACAATCTCCCAGTCTATTGTTTTGGTAAACAGATACCTTATTCACATTTTTAAATGTTATTTTACTACTTTTCCTGCTTTCTGAACTAACTCTATTGCTTTTCCTGCAAAAATTGGTTTTTATTGACTACATACACCCAGCCTGTACAGAGAGCATATCTGTTTTGCTATGGAACCATTTAGCTAAAACACAGCAACAGCACAGGTAATGAAAGTCTGAGTGCCTGCCAAGTTCCTAGGTTTCCTGCTCCTTATTTTGCTCTCAGAAAATAAGAGTCTCAATGCTTCAGACTTCTAATGCCAGTTTTCACTTTGGAGGGTTATAAAATAGCAATAGGCAGGGGTGATGACAGGAAAGATGGGATTAACAGAAGGAAAGAAAAGATGTTGCCAAATGGAAGGACAAGAAAAGAGAAAGGAAGCTGCCCATTTTACACACATGACAGCAGCAAGTCAGCCAGCAAACAGCAGCTGCCACTCAGAAATACTTTTGTCTCCTTGAAGGAGATATGTGCTGGCAGCTGCCATGAGGAAAAAGAAGTTGAGTTACTTTACAAGCTGTATTTACTGGTTCCTTTCTCCTGTTTTCATTAAATACATGACTTAAATCTAGTATCACCAGCACTCACTGGGTCTGGAGCCTCTCAATGCTCTCAACTTTAACAGTGATTTCTGCATAGCCCAGTCACCATCTTCCAGCAGCAAAACATCCCAGAGAGCTACAGAACTGTAATGACACATTTAAATAGAATGTATTCAAAATATGCCTGCCCTCACAGCTTCACCTGTTTACACATAAATGTTTGAAGATCAGAACCCCAGGATTTTCATGAAAAGATGTTTGGCTGTACAGCAATTCTCTCCAGCTTGTCAAGAGATAATTTGCTGCTCTAGAAGGCACCAAACTAAGAACCCCACCAAAACCCAAACCCACAAAAGCCACAAAATTAATAGAATAAGTAGAGTTCAGAAGGAACTGCAAGTGTTCATCTAGTCCATTCCTTTTTCATCAGAATAAATTATAACTCCATCATGCCTGGCAGACAGCTGCATTGCCACTTTTTAATGACTTCCAGGGCTAAAATATTGCAGGGTTATACAAAACCAGAATTTCCTAAGACTACTCTAACACAGTTTTGTAATGCTCAGAATGAAAATGCAATTTAAGTGCAATATCATCTGTTCTGTCTCCCATGAACACAGATATCCTGGGGTTTTGCTTCTAACTCTTTGTACAGCTTCCAACACTATCTAGGTTACTCTGCTGTCATTTCTCCCCTGAGCCTTCTCCTCTGCAGACAAAGCATCCCAATTCCTTCTCTCTTTCTCACAGGTCATGTTTTCTCAAAGCACAGAACACAGAAATGGTCAAAAAACGTCTCTGAGGTCAGTAATGATCCCAAATAGCATCTTGCTCGTGGTAATATATGAAAAGTGGGCAAAACTGTAAAATACCCTTACTTTACTTATGCCATCTGTGATCAACAATATCAATGCAAGAGTAAATAAGAGTATTGTCAAGCCTCAGAAAGAATAAATACCTAGGGTGAATTTTCGTCAATTTATTTGTTCCTGAGCAGCAATATAGACTGCTTCATTTCTGTCAGAATGGTTAAGAAATAATCTAAAGGGTAGTTAAATGATGAGTATTTTCTTGCTATTTTTAGGAATTGTACAATGGAAATGCTGGCGCCAGCTTTCTTCAGTGATGTGATTATGTGTAAGATGTCAAGAGCATTTTACTTCAAAAGTCTGTATTTTAATACAAGTAAAATGCAAATGCATGCAGAAGAGCAGAGTATATGTAATAATATAAAAGTGGAAGACTTCTGAGCCTGTTAGCTCAGCCTGTTAGCTCTTCCATCTGTAACAGCCCCAAGGCAAATATTTCAGTTTCCTGGGGTTCTTCAATATGCTGTATCCAGGCTTTAGTTGTGCCAGCAACTCACAAAACATTCTGAATGATGCAGAACTCTGCAATTCTCCTTGTCATGGTTCCACACAGCCTTGCTGCAGATCACCCAAACTCTGCCTCTCCCAGCAGCTGCCATTTGGAGCTGCTTTGGCAGCACAGGCTCGGTCCCAGCCAGGCTCAGCTGGCAGAGCCAGCCCTGGCACAGCCCTGGCACAGGCAGATGTTGCTGCACGGGCACCCCCAGCCCTGGCTCAGCAGCCACAATGTCTCACTGCACAGGGGCTCCAAGCACACAGCTGGGCATTTATTCAGCTGAGGGCTCTCCTGGGAGCCTGAGACACCCTTCAGGACCAAACTGATGTAGTCCTAGGCAGAAAGGCTCCCCACAGGGAATATTACTTAAGAAATATTTAAATATTTCCTCCCTTCTATGCTGTTTTGTCAAAAGACATCAAAAAGCCAATAAAAGAGCCCGATCACTGCAGAACCCATTGACACCTCCACACTACAAATGATCTCAAAACAGTCTAATGAATTACTCCCAAGTGAAATGCAAGCAGTAACAAAACAAACATTTCTCTGTTCAATATAATGAGAGAAATAAAAGAGCTTCTGTTGGCTGCACCAAGAATTGTTGTGAAAAAGAAATAAATTCACCCTGAAAAAATTTCAGACTAGGAACATTGTTTCAAAACTGTGTCAACAAAGTTATTTACAATTTCCATTCTTCAGAAAATGACAATAGGAAGCACCCACCCTCCAGAAATAAATTCATATCAAGCAGAGCATTTCTGTGGGGCCTGGCACATTCTACCAACACCAAGCTAAACACTGTAGGTATTTTACTCCTTGAGTGCTGATACTCATAGATCCAGATGGAGAAACAAATGGCTGGAAGAGTAGAATCAGAATCAAATTCCTAGCCAAATAATAAACTCAGGTTACTTAAATTGTAACTTAATTTCTATTATATATGCAATTTCAAAATCTTCATTAACACTATGACACCACCCCCCTTCTTCTTACATTTTTAAGCCAATTATTTATTCTACCATTTTATATTCTACAAAGATGAGCTGCTAACCAGTCATTGTAAATGATAAAGAAAAATTAAAAGATGAAATCTACTGGACTGTCATGCAAATCACTTCGTGCTGAATCACAATATATTCAAAATAGTTGCCACCTGCCTCCTTCAAGAAATTGCAAACAGGCTTGTGTTGTCTTTTTACCAATTGGTCTTGTTCGAACCAGTTTGAATTTGCACCATTCATTTCACACAGGCCAAAACAGCGTCCAGCCTTCTACAGACTGAACCCACACCTTTCCTGAAGAGCTCTGAAGAAAAAAATCACTGCAAATTCAGTGAGCTCATACTCCTCCTACCAACCCTACAGTTTTGACTAAGTGACAGGCACCAGCGGTGGCAGGTGACAACTTTGATTTTCGTATTTAAAGCTCTGACTGTACATTGATTCTATTTAAGGCACTCAATATATAAAAAAAGAATGAGCTTCAATATTGCCCGTGGTACCCCAGACCCCTCACCCTCGCTGAGCAGTTGGCTGGAACTGCCCCAGCCCCCCATGCTGCAGAATGAGAACAGGACTGTACCGTCCGGCGCTGCCTGCTGGCGGGGTTTTTTACATTTGACGTAATCGTGGTCAACTGGAGTGGCTGTGTAAGGTGGGGATGTCAGACCTGGACCTGAGGAGGAGGGCAGGGAAGTCCCAGGGCCTGGCACTGTTCCAGCTGAGGAGTGAGAGTCTTCATCTATCAAGCAAGGCTTTTCTCTGCGAGGGCGACAGGAAAGGAGAAGGGTTACTGAGATATTTGATGAAAAATCCCTTTGCCAGGATTTCTTCTCCTGGGAAGTTGGGAAGCTTCAGCTTCTCCTTGTTCTGCTGCTCTGGAATGGGATTTAGAGAATTGTTTATTCTAGTATGTGAATTGTTTTTAATTAATGACTTATCCTAGTCAGACTTTCTGGTCAGTCACGGGTTTTTATTATTTATTCTTTTCTAGCTTTCTGTCAGTATCCTTTTCCTATAGTTTAGTATAGTTTTAGTATATATATTTTATATATATACATATATATATAAAAATATATGTATATATGTAAATGTATATAATATATATAAAAATATATTTTATATATTATATATATAATATATATAAAAATATATTTTATATATTATATATAATATATATAATATATATTATATATAATATATATTATATATAATATATATAATATTATATATAATATATATAATATATAAAGTATATAATATATATAAAAATATATTTTATATATTATAGAATATATAGAATATATAATAATATTATTATATATAATATATAATATTATATATAATGTATAATATAATACAATATAATACAACATAACATAACACAACACATTATAACATGATATGATAATGATATAATTAAATATGATATAATATATCACAATATAATGTAATATAATGTATCATACTATAAGATACTATAATATACTATATAATATACTATAATAAACTATATAATATACTATACCATACTATACCATACTATAATATAATATACTATCACATACTATACTATACTATACTATACTATACTATACTATAATATAATACAATACATCAGCCTTCTAAGAACTTAGAATCAATAATCATCACTCATTTCATCCTGGGGACCACAACACCATGTTTATATACATGTTCTTACAGGATTTCCAACACACCAATCAAATCTCACTGACAAATTCTAAATTAAGGATTTTTACAACAAGTTATTTCCTCCCTGTAGTGGTTTTGGTTTGTTAATTTAAGATTTTTAAAGTAATGTATTGATGAGTGTGGTGGGTTTTAGTGTTGGTTAATCACTTATGTGTTTATTTCTTGTTGTGAGGTAGGAAGATAGGATTAGGAGAAAGGTAAAGGTTTAAAACTTTAAAAGGGTTATATAGAAAATTTTATTAACATTAATTAGAAGAAAAAAGGTAGTAAGAACTAAAATAAAATTTTTAGAACACTTCTTGTATAACTTTTTTCTTATTGACAGATGTGAAGAAATAAAATTTAAAATCTTTAGCTAGTTTATTACTTTTAAAATGGATTTTTAAGCTTATTTAGGGAGAGAAGATTTCTTTCTTAATGTTATGGAGATTTTTTTAATAAGAGGAAAAAATAGCTTTTTGTGGTTCTCAATTTTTATGACTAACAGCTGCCTGGGGCAATTTGTAATTATGAAGTTTCTCCACCATGACACTTCTTTATCACTGGTCAATAGCAAACTTTTCTTTATTTTGTAGTTGTTAATGAGAAAAGTTGTAAGGACTAAAATCTCTCATCCTATAAGTGACCATCATTTGAATTTGCATTTTTTTAACTGTTGATTTAAAAAAATCAAATTTTTGAATAAATAAAAACTGTGGCTTCAAAATGGATCACAAGATCAGAACTGTTCTGTTTTCTTCCCTTCCTAATTTCTCTCTGTGCCACTCATTGAGATCTCAGAGTAACATTTAATCTTATTCATGGTTCCTGAAAACTGCAAAATTAATGTAAAATTTGTTCACTTTGTTTATATTTCATTCAGCTTCATTTTAATAGTTTATTGTCCAGTTTATCAGCATTCATTCAGAGGATCCTGCTGGAAACTAGCACTCACTTTTCTGCCACTTTTGGGGTGTTCTTCTCCTCACCCCTGGCAAAGGGTCCCTCAGAAGCTTCTTTCATGAAACCAACAAGTACCTCTGCATCTACTCCAGAGTCTGGCTTCCCCACAAGTTTCAAAATAGAAGCATGAAGTCGAAAATACACCTAAAAAACACCAAAGTCCATCAGGTCAGTAAAGAATCTGTAGCTCTGTAATCCATTACAAATAGTCTTTTCTCTGTAGAAGCTGCAGGAGTTAGTTAAGACAGCTACTTGACACCTAAACTTACCTGAATTGAACTTTCCCTGACTTTAAAGTTGCTTTTAAATTACAAAATCTGAACACTGTGCAAATTTTATAACCAGAACCTATGGAACACAACAAGGAAAGCAGAACTGGCCTCGCTGAGAGCAAGTGACCACTGGGTCTGTTCTAGAACTTTTACCAGACAACAGTGAGAGCAAAAGTCCCTCCTCATGCACGAACCTGTGCTTCCATAGGTATGAGATGTCTGTGAATCCTATCAATGTTTGATTTTTATAAAAACCAATTAACTTTGCAGCAAAATTCAGAAGTGGAATTGCTACCCACCTGTCCAACCTGCCTTTGAAATGAAACCAGCCTGAATAACAGGCTCCATCTCACTCTCCAAGTGTGTCCTGCAAACTTCCCACAACCATCTACATGTGCCTAACAACCTGTAGAGAACCTGACAGAGGGGTCACCTCGAGCCAGGTCTCATGAGCTCTTGGAGATCTGTAGCTCAGCTACCTCAGATGGCATAAAGTCAGCAGGATGGCTTCTGTGGTAGTGTTGGAAACAGGAAAGTTTTGATAAAAGGCAAAATAACAAAGCTCTTTGCAGAGAAAAACCCAGGCCAGGGGCAAGAGGCTCTTGCTCCTGGTAGAACACCTCACAAAAGTGATTATTTCCTTTGTTCTTTTTCTAGTGAGTTGCTTAGGCTGGACTTTTTGGCTTCTTCTGTCCAATTGGCTATCCTTAAGTTTGAGGTGGAGTTCCCAAGGTCCTATGAGGTGTCCTTTTACCTAACTGAGGAGAGAAACTTCAGGGCTTCTTTCCTTTTTAAGGAGACAAAGGATAATTTTCTCACTGCATCAACAGGGGGCACATTCTTACAAGAACAAAGCTTCCATATTCAACATTTGTTTACCTCCAAACCTTCCAGCCTACAAATTCAACATTCCCTTACCTCCAAGGCTTCCAGCTACACCTTCAACATTCCTGTACCTCCAAAGCTTCCAGCTACACCTTCAACATCCCTTTACCTCCAAGGCTTCCAGCTACACATTCAATATTTCTTTACCTCCAAGGTTTCCAGCTACACCTTCAATATTTCTTTACTTCCAAGGCTTCCAGCTACACATTCAACATCCCTTTACCTCCAAAGCTTCCAGCTACATATTCAACATTCCCTTACCTCCAAGGCTTCCAGCCTAAACATTCAACATCCCTTTACCTCCAAGGCTTTGAGCTACACATCAAACATTCCCTTACCTCCAAGGCTTCCAGCTACACCTTCAACAATCCTGTACCTGCAAGAATCCCAGCCAACACCTTCAACATCCCTTCACCTCCAAGGCTTACAGCTACACATTCAGTATTCCTTTACCTCCAGGGCTTCCAGCTATACATTCAGTATTCCTTTACCTCCAAGGCTTCCAGCTACACCTTCAACATTCCTTTACCTCCAAGAATCCCAGCCAACACCTTCAACATCCCTTTTACCTCCAAGGCTTCCAGCTATACATTCAATATTTCTTTACTTCAAAGGCTTCCAGCTACACATTCAACATCCCTTTACCTCTATGGCTTCACTACACCTTCAACATTCCTTTACCTCCAAGCTTCCAGCTTACATACATTCAATATTTCTTTACCTCTATGGTTTCCAGCTACACCTTCAACATCCCCTTACCTCCAAGGCTTCCAGCTACACATCCAACATTGCTTTACTTCCAAGAATTCCAGCCAACACATTCAACATTCCCTTACTTCCAAGGCTTCCAGCCACACCCTCAACATTCCTGTACTTCCAAGGCCTTCAGCTACACATTCAACATTGTCTTACATCCCAGGCTCCCAGCCTACACATCCAACATCCCCTTACCTCCAAGGCTTCCAGCTACACCTTCAACATCCCTTTACCTCCAAGGCTGCCAGCTATACATTCAACATCCCTTTACCTCTATTGTTTCCAGCTACACATTCAATTTTCCTTTACCTCCAAGGCTTCCAGCTACACATCCAACATTACCTCCAAGGCTTCCATGGCCAGTTCTGGTGGGTTGTGGTAGTGAATCTTCTTTGGGTAGCGAGCAGCCTCCTCGTGCAGGTAGTGCCCTGCCTGTTTGTAGTGCAGCAGGTACACCACAGGAGGCTGCTTCTGTTTCTCAGCTATCTTGCCCAGCATGTAGTGGATGAGCCACTCCTCCTCGTCGCCGTCGCCCTCGCAGCGCGCCGCGGACGTGAAGCACAGCTTGGCTGTCTCCAGCATGCTGTCCCTGCGCTCCTCCATCTGCACAGGGCACAACAAAGCTCGCTGCAGCAAAGCCCAAAAACACCCTGCTGCCTGTGGAAAAGCACCTGAGCACGGCACAGCTTGTAAACACTTTCAATATAAATGATGCAGAATTATTAAACACATCCCAAGTGGTGAAACGCACCCCAACTGCCCATAAAATGGGTTTGTGGATAGGGTTTTGTTCCCTCCAGTGACTGCTGGCACAACCAACCAGAACAAAACAATAAGACAGAAGAAATATCTATATCTATATCTATATCTATATCTATATCTATATCTATATCTATATCTATATCTATATCTATATCTATATCTATATCTAATCTATATCTAATCTATATCTATATCTAAATCTATATCTAATCTA